CTTTGTTTTCCACTTCGCATTCATGCAAACAGATGACAAGTCACACTGGCGCTCAGCGCCCACTCAAAGCTCAGAGATATGGAAGTCGGAAACACAGTTCAGATACATGCTCGCTTTTACAGGCTATGGCGCATCAGCGCCTGTACAACTCTCTGTTCGTCACTGTGCTCAACTCCGCTGTTCACACACACTCAACTCAGGATCACCCTGGATATCCCACACGCGACACATTGTATCACACACACACACACACTACACTCGCCTACCACCTACGGCGGCTATGGCCGCTCAACCCGGCTGGCTATGGCTATGCAACCTCTACTCTGCCCACTTCGTCTTCGGGCGCTCTGCAGACCACCTCGCACAAGTCGCTCAAGCAGCGCTTCCGCATGGCTTACACAGGAATGAAGGAATGGCTGGGCGCTGCCTCTTGATTTATACTTCTGTAACTCGTTGGTCTGCCCCTTTCCCATGCCCTTCGTGCACACAGTCCCACACGGTACTTGCTTGACTGGACTCTGACTGACTGGGACCGGTACCACTGACTGCATGGGTTTGCACTGCCAACTCGATGCAGTCGCACTGCCGATGTACCGCAGTTGGGCTCACCACTTGCCCACTTGCCTCTGTCTAAATGTGAGCAAACTTTGAAAGGCCACTTCCGGACCTTCCGGAAGTTTGTGGGCTTGGCCTTTCGAACACTGTAGCAGCTACGACCTTGACCTCTCAGAACAGCTACAGCTACGACTTCTAGAACTCACTAAGACCTTCATCCTACAGGTCTACAGATCGAACCCCTACAACCTACGGACCTACAACAGCCTACCAACTGTTACGAATACACAGGTCACGGGTTCAACTCTCTGGGTCAATACAGGTAGTGTACACGGGTAAGGTAAGGACTAGGGATCGAGCCCTGGGATCTGCATTCGCTACTGCTAACAGGTGAATACCGTTTCAGATGGCACATAATCATACAAGCATTGTCAGCATACATCATGAGTGGAGGGTGGAAATCGAGTGATGGTGACACGAAGGGAATCATAAGGGATATGTCGATGGTCCTTCCAGAACTAAAAATGCTTATGCAAAAAAACTTTCACCCGCTGGAAGGTCGTTAGTCATCGTCCTCATGGAATGGAAACATAGATGCACAGCGCGACAAAGAGACCAACTCAAAGAGCCAGATCAAAAGGAACCGTAAGCCGTTTCTTTAAGCAGATGTCATGGGGCTCAAAAAAAAGAGGGGACCAAAGAGCTTACAACAACATTGGCAATCCATACGATCGTTTTCTTATGCCCAAGCCATTCTTGGCAGCAAAAGAAAATTTGAACGAGAGGGACGCCAAACCACAGTGATCATAAGTAAGGTCCAAGGCGGGGATTTCAAAACAAAAATTCACATCAGAAACACAAGGCTGATCCGACCGAGTTCACAATCATACAAGCATGTCATCATCCATATAGAGAGCGGAATCCGAGCGGAAGCGAAGGTGAAAGAAAACTCTTGAGATGCAATCGTAAAAGCACACGGACATGTCGAAGAACCTTCCAGACGAGGGGAAGCTTGAGCTAGTCAGGCTTGCGTAAATCCCTCCACCGCTGGAAGGGTGTTCGAAATTGTCTTCGAAGAATCGAAGCACAAAGGCATAGTGCACCGGAGAGACCCGACCATAGAATCAATAGAAAAAAAGGAGAGAAGCAGGCGTTATTTCCCACACAGAGAGTATGCAGATGTCATCGAGACTGAAAAAAAGGGGAACGGCAAACCATAGAGTTTACAAAAAAAGTGGCATCCCGGATGATCGTATTCCTGAACTTTCAATGCTATGGCGGGCATCGAAAACAGTTTCGAACGTGAGGGATGCCAGACCATGGTGAAAACAAAGGAAAAACCACGTTAAGAAAGTGTTGGCCTTGTGAAAACGG